GTTCGTACGTATTATTTCCACCAAAAGAAATTTATTCTCCCTGTGATCCTCAAATATTGGGAAAAACACCAAGCTGCACTTGTGGAAGAAGTCAAGACCATCAAAGATACAGTTTGGTGTGGGGATGGAAGATTTGATTCGATGGGCCACAGTGCCAAGTATGGTGCATACACTATGTTTTGTACCACTACACTTAAGGTTGTGCACTTTGAAATTCTTCAGGTACATTCAACTCACTACATTTTTGTATCCAAATATTTAATGAGGCTGAAGTAATGTGTACTGTATGTTGCACCTAGTCAGTAGTCAGATGATTTTACTAATGAAGGAGACACCCTTGGACCCTAGTAAGTTAACCAATATATACTGTAGAGTGCTCCTTCTTCTTACAGGCAAATGAAACAGGAGGCAGCTCACCCATGGAGCTGGAGGGTGCGAAGAGAGCTTTCGACTATCTGACAAGAGTTGGAATCAACATCCGAGTCTTCATTACTGACCGCCATCGAGGCATTGCAAAATGGGTCCGTGAACACAAGCCAAACACCTCACATTTCTATGATATTTGGCATGTTGCCCGATCTATTCAAAAGGTCCTGCTCAAGCTAAGCAAAGAAAAAGGATGCGAGAAGATTGCAAAGTGGATGAAAGCAATCCGCAACCATCTGTATTGGTGTGTGACTTCAACAAAGCAAGGGTTTGAAGAGCTAATACTAGCCAAGTGGAATTCATTCATGAATCATGTAGCAAACAGACATGAGGGCCACCCTGACCCATTGTTTAAAAAATGCTTACATGGTGAAATTGACCGTCGCAAGTGGATTTATAACGGTACACTATATTTCGAAACAAGCTAGGAAAATATAGTTAACCCATTAAGCCCCAGAGCTTTCCCATTAGCAAATAAAATCGTCTGGCATTTGTAAAAAAAGGCGGTCGCATTGTAGGTTAAAGGGTTAAATTTGTTGTGGTTATAAATGATCAATTTTGTATTTTCTAGGAACAAAGGCATATCAAAAACTTAATACTGCCTTAACAAAAACTAAACTCCTGAATGACATCAAAAAGCTATCACCTGATGCTCAAACAAGTAGTCTGGAAGGGTTCCATGCAACATTGAATCACTGGCACCCAAAAATGATCTGTTTTAGTTGGCTGGGAACATATTGCAGGTGTGAAAATTACTTGAAAATCACTAATCATACACATTAGAACATTAAACAAAGGGAGGGTATGACTCAACAAGTGAATGATCTGCTCTGATATTGGGCATACCAGTTTACTGTATTTTACTCTTTCTGTTAAATGCCATATGATTTGACTTAAGGGAAAATTCAAGATTACAAAAATATGGGTAATAGTATCTAGATACATTTTGTTTCATTTTAGGCATATAGTTGCGGCACTCCACTTTAATGAAAATGTCCAGAGAAAATCACATGTTTGCAAGGATGGAAAAGAATCTGTAAGGGTGATTTTTCCCAAGTACAAGATGGGAGAAGAAATTGTTCGAAAAGTTACTGTTCCACCTACCTATAGTAAGTAAGCACTAAATGAACTGTACACACTACAAGGTGATAATGTACAGTATTTATATTTGTTAATTTTGTAGTGTGCCATAAAATTGATGATTATTGCCTATTTCCCTAGCAAGGCATTACAAATGTTAAATTTTGTAGCTATAGCCATACTAAAGTAATTATTTCCTAGAACTGTGTATATTGATTCAGGAGACAGTAAGTTAATTATAGCATTTGTCTTTTAGACTATGTTGAAGAAATCAGGAGACTTCTTTTTTCTATGTCTAAGGCACAGATTAAAGAACTTGAATCAGTAAAAGAAAGATATGCTGCCAAAACTCCATCCCCATTGACTTCACAGTTCACAAAAAGAAAAAGCAAACCAGAAGCAATAAAGGCTCATGAACAAAAAAAGAGTAGAACAGCTGCTGAATTATTTCCTGCTGGTAAGTGTCACCAATACACAAATGATAGCACCTAGGTATGCTTGTACAGTGAACAAATTCATACATATATATATATATATATATATTTATATATATATATATATATATATATATATATATATATATAATATATATATATATATATATATGTTTATTCACAGTAGCAGAACAACAGGCTTTACAAAAAGAAATTGCAGCTGCAAAAGCCAAAAGCAAAACTAAGAAGAGGAAATCTCCCACTTGCAAGACATGTGGCAAACGTAAAAAAGGACACCCAAGAGGCACTTGTCCAGCATCTACCTAAGTTTATCAACTAAACTTAGGGCATGTTATGAAATAATGATGTTGTGAAACAAAATCCCAAGATATGTACATAAGAAAATTTGTATTGTTATTTAAAAGCTTATTCTTTTGTCATGTATAATACAGTGAATAAAAAAAAAATTAAACAGTAATCATATATACTTAACAATCTATCAATTGGTCCATCATTTCAACTCCTTGCTTCTGCTGACTGGTAACCTCTTCCTTGATGATGGTTGATGGGAAAACGATTTCTGATGTTTTTATAAACACAAGCTGGCAATGGTCTTGTGTTATCCCAACCCATACTGCCACAAATCCAACGGATTAACCATCTGTATGCGATAGCTCGTAATAAACTACAGGTAGAAAAACAGCATCATATTAAATGAAATAGAGTCTTGAAAGTACCGTATACATGTGGGATGCTATATTTAATCATAATGGGCTATTACATTTAAAAACCATACCCCCCCTGTTGAGGACCTCTGGTTTCTGAGACTATTCCCCCTCTGGAATGGCAAAAAATCTAGATAGTAAACCCCTCTGGAAAAAACCTTGACTCCCTGTGGAAATGCATTTTTACCCATTCACCTCTCTGGAATTGCCTAAATTATGCCATAACCCTACTTGAAAAGGAAAAATTTACCCCTTTGGAAAATAGAGGTCCTCGACAGGGGGGGGCGCTGGTATTAAATGTTATAGCCCAATACACAACCACATTACACTACAATGTTCCAACAGCCAAAACAGACGCTAAGAACTTAACTACATAAAGACTTACTTATATAGCAATATGTATATTATACACATACTGTACGTATTTACAATAAACTTTCTATTTTACTTACTCGTTCTCAGACTGTCCAGCATGGCGAGGTAACTTCTGCCATTTCTGTCCTTTAACATAGGCCCAACATTTTCAAGTACTGTTCGATTTGTCATGGCTGTAAAATCTTCGTGTTGCGTGACACATTTAAATTTCTCAATCGATCCATCAAATATTAACTTGTGTACAGCTTCTGCAACCTCATGACAACACCTACACTCTCTTGGATTCTGCAGTTGCTCGGTACAGCATTGCCCACACTTACACCTATCACATGTGATGTACGTGCATTGAAATATCCAACGATCAAAATATATGGCAATATTAGCAGTAAGCTTATACCATTGATCAAAGGAAACTTGACGTTCGAATCTTGAACAAAGAACAGTTGAAGACAGACCATCTTCGTCAAGCTCATCTTCCTCTTCGTCGCTCGAGTTAGCAAGAGGTTCGTCTTGATAAGGTTGCACTCCTCTTACAGTGATATTATCTTCACCAGAATCACTGCTGATTGATTCTGAACTTGATTTTGAGCTTGAAGACTCATCGTGTTCGCTAAGGTCGCTCATAGTGGGTATATTATATCTTTTGAACGGTTTGTAATTGTACGTTCGTCTTTTACAAGTAAACAAATAAATATATTTCGATCGCGTGTCAAGGTTTCTACGTCATCAGTGGCAGTTCTAGTTCCAGTCTCCTTGACAAAAATTGACTAATTTATTGGTCATTTTTAACTATTTTGCGAAGCAAAATCATTGCTTTCTAAAATTTTTCTGATATTTTTTTTGTGGTTTTAGTAAAAAAAAATAAAATAAGAAAGAGAAAAAGCGAAGAAAAAAATTTATTTCATATACACTTTAAATATCCACACCATTTATACACATGAAATCCACATTTCAATTTCAGCAATGCATTGCGGTAATAAAATATTTAAAATATAGGCTTGGATATTTACCTAGTGCACACAATATGTTCCGTGCAGCAACACCAGTAGCCTAGCTTTAGCCGCGGTCAAGCTTGTCGCGGAATGTCGCCTATACACAGTACTGTCAGTAGCAAGTCACTAGCAACTAAGGGCATCATTACCTTAAGAATATTTTAAATTTTGACAATAATCTATTTTGTCGATTGCATGCACCATCGCTATATTTTCTTCGCAAAGCTAAAGCTGCAATGTCGCTATTTCTGCCGCCATATTTTTTTCATATTAGTTACATATTTTGTGACCATACGATCACATATGCATGTGTTATGATTTTTAACCAGTATAACAAGTCGCTAATTAATACTTGTGATCTAACTAAATTATTGGTGGTCACTATATTCATTCCCCCATATATTCGACCATCTACATAGTTAACTGTGTAAAAAATGCCTAAGCTAACTGCATGAGCCTAACAATAGTGACCTAAAGAAATAGAACGCATAAATTAGTGGGATAATTTTCGAAAATCTTCATTTCAAACGACCGCGGCAATCCGCAATCCTAAAGGTCCGAAAATCCGCCCTGCAAAGCAACTTAATACTCAACCCCGGCAGCAAGACAAAAGTGCACATTATTTTTACTAAAGCATATAGCAATAGCACACGGCCCATATAGAAACCGAGTTTTTAAATCACAAAGAGTGCAAATAATTTTTTTCTGCAAAGCTTATAGCAATGCTGCCGCCCATATAGAAACGACAATGCCAAATGCATGCACAGGGAGTTTATACTCACCATTTTAAGAAACACCCGATCCTTAACATCTTCGAGACATCTACTTGTGACACAATTTGTGCCGCCTGCTTACAATAAAATTAACTAATCAAGATTTCCCCAGACAGATGATTAAGGCATGCATCAAAGCATCAATCCATTTTGTCTTGCGAAACTTTTTATATCATATAATTATATATATTCAAGGTAGCATCTACCCACATATTTTTGACAAATGTCAGAAAAGTTTGCAAACAATTGTTGTTTCAATGTGAGTAAATGCATCCTATTAAATTGTAACCACCAAGCTAACAACTACTCTAACCTCAGCCAAGCCATTTTAAAGGTCTGGCAACCTTTCATGTCATGTTTATTCGGAATGATTGGATGATCGTGGCCCAACTCGATTCCACGGCCATGGCAAGTAATCTAAAGGATTATATTGCAGTGCGCATTTATATCCGACTCCATTTTACTCGCGTTAGCATATATACATAAAATGCAATTGAGAACGTCTTGTTATATACAATTGCATGATCATCTATATGAAATCTTACTTCGAATGCGTGTCATATTTCGATATATGCATGGATCAATAGAGAGCTACAGTTTAGCCAGGCAAACACACTCAAGGAAAAAAAACTTTAAATCGAGCCAACCGTAATACGAATTCTGTGATGATTCATCGATAAGCCTGATTTCAATGCTGGGAGGGAAATAATGCAAGCGCGCCTAATAAAGTATGCCCAGTCATGACTTGCCTTATATAATAGCTAATGTTTCGTATAGTCTCATACCTTTATATGCAGGGGTAAAACGCCTTGACTTCTCCATATAGATGTTAATATCCAGCAAATATTTGGTTTAGTCTTCGCGAAATTACTGGTAAAGATCTTTACCCGCGCGCTCATATACGCATAAACAGTTGATAGGCGCCATTTCAAATTTGTTCATTTTGCCGCTCTAGCTGGCAGGCTTCAAGGTGCAATGACCATGCATAATTGCAATTTAATATCCGGAATGTAATTTCCTAATAAAGGAGCCCAAATCAAAATTAGTGAATATTTTCCTGTTGCCCAAGCAGCTGATATGTTGTCCAAGCAAGATAAATTCTAATGTTCGTTTTCTGATGAAGTATGGCGAAATATATATAAGCGAAATATCCAAAAGGTCAAACTTAAATGTTTGTACACGTTAGCTTGGCAACTTGCCCTTGGGCTTGGGCCAGTTGTGCGCAAGGCTGCACGCACTTGGTTAAAACATAGCGCTAAACTCAATCTCACAAAACACGGAATTTGTAGACGGCGTCTTTGATGGTTTATCGTAGTTTAATATCAACAAAACTTAAATGGTATAATATAGATCATAATTTCTGTTTTGTTATATTTTTCACACGGGCCACAGCTCTAATTATGTTGACCAGATGATATTTTGTGCATTATCAAAGCCTATAGGCTAAATTTCCCTGAGCAATATTATGATGTTCATTGTACGACACTCTTGTTTTTTTATTGTAATAAACAATGTCACACAATGAACATCATTGATATAGCTTCATTACTTTCATACAGTCTCTATGATTTGTACGATTTGAGACTTTTCCGCGTTCCACGTTTCCGATTCGAGGAGCTAGTCGAGAGAAATCAAATCACAACCAAAATATAGCTACATGCATGGGGAGTGAATTGTGCTGAAATGTGCATATATATATCAACATATATGAAGTAATTTTTTTGTGAATTAAGAGTCTAAATAAACATTTACAATGCATGAGTTATATTTATGCCATAAGTTATATTTATGCCAATTGATACCTTTCAACATGCCAGCAACAATCGAGCCAGATGGCTTAGATCTGGTGAGACAAATATACCCTTTTAAGGAAATAAGACAATTTTGCAAGCGGGGCACTGCTCCAGTTTTAGACTAGATGCACGCGTCATATTTAAATTGCTTGGATATTCATGCAGTGGCATAACGAACAGAGGATGGGGTCTTGAGATATACTTGGTACTGCCGGGTCCCTTAATTCGCTGTTTGTCATTGATCACGTTTTGCTCATATACTATGATGTTTCGTTATCTATTCTGGCCCCCAATAACTGGGGAACCTTATTTTAGTTCTCGTCCTAACCCTACCGAACGCGCGTTAGGTCACTGTATTTATGTCTTCAAATATTAGCTAGGGTATTTCAATTGTTGTATATAATTTGCATGTCAGACTGCATTAAAGACAACGAGCTGAAATGCTGAACCGCATTCTCGTCCTAGGATGCGGTCCTTTATTTTGAATACATTTTAATCAGTAGCTGCTTCGGACGGAGACCCTGCTATCAGATTATCAGATGTAAATAAATTAGCTTAAATTTATCGCACTTTGTAAATAAATTTACAAGTGCGATAATATGTAACACGCAAAATCCCTCAATTTACTGATTTTAAAATCTGGTTTTGTCTGTTTACATACATTACAGACTTCCGACAATTATGCAACTTAATT